GGAACAGATGGAAAGCAACCGGTGTAGATAAAAACACTGTTACTCATCGTTTCCTGTTGTCCTCTCTGTCTTTATCTCAAGAGAATGAGGTCACATTACTCCTTTATGTGGGTTAGCAGAGACACAGCAGCTTATATGGCTATTTTAATCTGTCACATATATTTTCTAACTTCTCTCAGGTACAGCACAGTTTTTGAGGTATCTGTCTCAAAGATTGCTGTTGTGCAGTGGTTTGAGAGCTCAACACACCAGAGTAACAAATACAAACAGACAATGCTCAAGCAAGCTGAGAAAAAATGCTGAAAATTGAACCTAATTGCAAAACACCACTAATACTATTCTTAACCTTTATATCACTGCAGATACCGCTATTAACCAAAAAAGGTTGGTACCATCAACCTGTGGGGCTGGAAAAATAGAGTCTGTGTGAAAATGTCAAAAAATGCAGGCCCTTAAATGGCCACTTCAGGCTGGTTTCAAAGGTGAGTCAATCCCTCTAGACTCCCATGTTAACGTTAGTCCTCTCCTCAACCACCTACCCAATTCAGGGATTCAGGAGGGCTGGACCCTGCCGTAGTCGCCATTGAGTAAATGACAGGGGTACAGCCTGGACACGTAGGTAGAGGTCGCATGACAAAATGCCCAAATTTAAAGTGGAATAAACACGTTTTTATCCAGGGTTTACATAAGTGACCCAACTGATCTATTAAAACTTAAAATTATGCAGTTTTATAACTGCATAATGGATTGGGTTTATATAGCGCTTTTCAAGGCACCCAAAGTGCTTTACAACGCCATTATTTATTCATTCTCACATTGGTGGAGGCAAGCTACAGTTGTAGCCACAGCTGCTCTGGGGCAGACTGACAGAAGCGAGGCTGCCATATCGCGCCATTGGCCCCTCTGGCCAACACCAGTAGGGTAAAGTGTCTTGCCCAAGAACACAACGACCAGGACAGAAAGCCCGGGGATCGAACCGGCGACCTTCCAGTTACAGATACGCTTCCCAACCCCTGAGCCACAGTCGCCCTGGCTTTGGAGTGTTGTTTTCTTTGAGTGACACGTGGGTGCCAGGACAGGCTAAACTGTGTCAACTCAATGATTTCTGTCAGTGAACTGGACCTCGAAATCTATGCTCAATTTTTATCAGCGTTCTGGTATTATGTTTTAAAGTTTGTAATGGGTATCTGTGTCTTTGTGTTACACTTTACATTCTGTGGAGCAGTTGGTAATTTATCACTCATATGTCTTTTCAAAATAAGGTTGGTTCTGGCTCCAAAATAACAAGATGGCAACAGCCGAAATGCCAGTGTTAAGGCTTAAACACAGTAATACATGATGTCACATTGCCTATACTCATCTTTTATGTGCAACTTATGGAAAATAAACATAATCTGGGTATAATCTATCGGCCATGTTAACAGAGTGAAGAGACAAATAAGACAGAGGATTTACATATTTGTTTACCTTCTAATACAACTCATGGATTATTGATTCAGTAACCTCCTGAGTAACCATGGCAACAACACTGTGTCCCAGTCATGCCATCACATTTTGGTGGAAACTGAAAATATCTGAGTTGGAGTTTCAGGGCCAGTGAACAAATAAAAGTATGAATTATGTTTCTGCAGTGTTCAACAGCAATGTTTCTGTAGTGTATAAACTGATAGAAGTTCAGAAATACCCAGAAGAATGAATTATGCCACAGTACATATTATAATGACATATTCAGCCATTTCAGCCACGTCATTAATAGAAGAGCAATTAGTGCCTTGATTTGTGTTTTCAGCTTAAATAAAACAAAACGAAGCCTCGCACATAGAAGATACAGAAAGATGTACAGCCTTTTGAGTTTTCATAAAAGTAAAACTTATCGCAGAACTTAGAAGCAAAGAGAAACTAAATTAATAAAAGTTAAGAGCAAGTTTTTATAACTACATAAAACATGATCATTTAACTGTTAGTAAGATTATTTCACAGCTGAAGTAATCTTTTATTTTGACTTCACAAGTTGCTCATTTAATGGTTGCCGACAACGTTTTTCTCTTCCAGTTGCGCTTTAGAAAATCTTCAGACAAACAGAGAACATAGTTTTCTATCTGCGACTGTTACAGCCTCAGCAGGGCTTCCTGTGAATTTAGCCTTGTGTGGATGTTCCTGCCGTCTCTCCTGCTTTAGGCGCCACCCTTTTTGTACAGCTGATTCTACTCAGCAATTAAGATAGAGCACTTAAGTCCAGAGAAATGGTGAGCTCTGGTGCCAGAGAGGCTTGTTGGTTTTGCAGTTAGTGAGCTGTGTGTGGGGTGGCTGTATATTCCTGCTCTGTGGAGAGGAGTGTGTTTCAGTGACTTTTCAGTTTAGAGACCAACTCCTGGGTTTTGTTTTCTTTCTTTAAAAGTTGATAGCGGCTTGTCTGTCTCTTTTGATTTATTAATCAATTCAAATTAAATAACCTTTAACAATTTTGCCTCCTTGTCTACTTTTTTAAGCTGGATATTTTTTGTTACTTTACCACATCCCTTGGACTTTATAGGGGAACGTAACAGTGACCTTCACTTGTTTTCTTACCTTTACCTTCTACCATCATGTGACAAAATATTCTGCTCTTCGCAGTTGTGGATGTTTGCTTTCTGATAACAAACTGCTCTGTTTTATTATAATAAATTACACATTGCCTTTCATCACAACAAATCTCCCACAGTGGACAAAGTAATCACAAGTCACATTTGCAAACATTGCAAACAACAAGTCAGGGAAAAATTGTAAAAGCACGATGATGCAAACAAACAAAAAACTGGGATCTGGAGTCATTGACGCAAGTTGTAAATATGATTACAGTCTCTACAATATTTGTCATGGCACAGGCAGTTTATAACTCTCTTATAAACTGCACACATATCCACTGTAGATCATATAAATGTAGGGGAAGGGGAAAGCACACGTCAAAGGGAGCAGAGTTTTTAAATGTTGGAGTTTAGTGATTTCGTTTCCAGCGCAGAAACTTACGATTTTTACGGTCTCTGCCTGCCTCCTTCAGTCCACTCCATCCCTCCTCCCACACAGGACTGGTGTTATGATGGTTACAGCAGTATGATATTTATCTATAAATAACACACATAGCTTCAGTAAAGTCTCCTGGGATCTGGAGTCATTGATGGAGCTTCTTCAAACAGTCTTGCAGCAGTCAGAGAAGATCTGCCGCTGAGAAGAAGCGAAAAGATATCCTCTGTTCACTGGAAAACCTTTCCTTTTATATAAAATGAAAGAAAAATCTAAAGCACGAGTCTGTGAAGTAATGAATTTATTCTTTTGATATCACAGAGGAAAGGTATTTCAATGGATATTTTCCATTAAGCATAAGGAAGTCAATTTCTTTTTAACCCAGCAACATCTCAGATTGTACCTAAATACAAAAACCGATACTGGAAATGATTGAAAAGATTTATGTCGTTTCACTGCTGTTTAGTAGCACATTAGGTGGATTTAGAGTCTTAGGATAAATGACCTCGAACATCTGCAAAACCCCTTTTTCCTCTGTGAAATGAAAAGGTGAATTTTTTGAAGCAGAGCTAGTTTAATGATGGTGTTTTTTATGTTTGTTTGTTTTTCTTCTCAATATACGCTTTTGATCTGTGACGCCAAGATTCAAAGTGCATTTACATGCCAGTAAATACCATTATTACAATGACACCAAGGCACACATTATACAACAACATGTAAATAATTTAACTCGGAGACTTCCCCAGCCTTAGAGGAGCATTGAAATGAATATTTGGGTGCAGTTAATATAACATCAGCTTCAAGCTGCACTGATACTTCGGAAAGATTTATTTTCCATACACTCTTTATGTCTGTGAATAATGTATATAATGTATAATAATGTGTATATTATCTTCAGATGATTCATTTATCCTTTAAATTGCTCTTATAACTCACAGGAGGTGGCATAGTCTGATGAGTGTTTTACACTGCTGCAGAACAAAATACTGTGTAGAGGGGAAAACATACTAGTTTACATATATATAAGTATGTTTTTTTTCATGGGTTATAATAACAGTCTCAAGCAGAATTAGTCAGACAAAAGCAAACGATTTCTGATCAATGTTGACATCAAACTGAATCAATAGTAGAAAAAAAATTCTGTCTGAAACTGACCTTTTTATTTTGAAACTTTGACCATTTTCCTTATATCTGTGACAGTATACAGCAGAAAATGGGAAAAAGCACAGTAGATCCCCATTAATTAATCTTGTTATTTTTCACTGTCAAACTAAAATGATCTTTTTTTATCATTTATTTCTTCCATACAAAAGTAAAGTTTACAAGGCAAACACTTAAATGCTCGGTTGCTAGATCAGCAGCAGAAACACATTATGTTCCTTTTTCCTCAAGGTGCTGCTGTTCTGTTACTCTTTGTCATGGTTCTCGTGGGATCTGTTAGTTTATTTATTCATTGAGTGTTTTTTTTTCTTTCTTTTCTTTCTTTGTTTGGTTATTAGATGTGTCTTAATGGTAGTTACTTGTCTTGTGATTTGCTTTGAAGGTTATTTTGTAGTGATTTCACGTCCTGCTTCTGTTGCTTTCGGTCTTTTTTTCCCATTTGATTTCACTTGTGTTTCCCTTCTTTCTTTCCCCTTGTCCTTGTCAGATTGTTGTTTGCACTCTCTGGGGTTTCCTACTGTTCCACACGATTATGTTTATTTATTTATTCATTTATTTTTTCTGCTTATTGAATTAACATAAAATAACAATTTAAAAAAAACATTTGTTCCCAATTGGTCGTTTGGGGTGTTTTTTGTCAGTATTGTCTGCATCTGCATCCTGCATCAGGATCTTCTCTCCAGCTACACGTTACAGTCTGCTCTTAAAATGCTTTAATCAAAATGAATGCAGCATGGTGCTTTTTCCTGTTGCTGATATGGTCTCTTTACTTGCAAAAACGTGATGGAAACTGGGATTTCTTCCCCTGGTTTATACATATCTCTCTCTCTCTCTCTCAGGTGTTCTCCCAGTCGCTGTGAACACGGTGGCCGCTGCAGCCAATCCTGGACCGTCTTTCACTGTAACTGCTCTGACACCGGCTACAGCGGAGCAACCTGCCACAGCTGTGAGTCACCTGACAGCTAAACATCAGCACATGACAAGTACAACAAGTGAGGGCAAATGGAGAAAGATGGGGGGAGGGGTAAGAGGGACAGATGAAATGCAAATGAGGAACAGATAGCGTGTCAAGCAAGATAATGAGGATGTTTTTCATCTTGAATAATTTAAACTAGGAGGGGGAAAAAAACAGGGAAGGGGAATGGCAAATCAATCAAATCAAATCAAATCAATTAAAAATGCATTGGGTGGGTTGGTTCAGTCAAAATTATTAAGTTATTTACAATATTAAGTTATATCCAACATTTTACATTGGTGACACAAAACTGTGATTCCTGTCGTTATTGTGTGTGACAACCAAAGTAAACTCTAAGGGTGGTATTGTAATTTTTTTTTGCTGTTGCTACTTCCTGCACACTCATATGGTACCACTTGTCAGTGAGGGAGGCTCACTCTGAAGTAAACCCTACATTATCCCCCTTTTTGACTCTAACTAAAGAAAGCTGAGGGTCATTTCCCCATAGACCTCTATACAAATAGACTTTGTACACCTCAGGAAGTCACTTCCTGCTGGCCAGGTTTAAAGCACTTCTGCATCAGCTTGGTTTTTGACACCTGATTTGTGTTATTTACAATCCTTTCACCTGTTACATACTAACATGTGATGAGTATGGAAGCCCCAGAAGCCTGCCATTCAGATTGTCAGCCGGCCAAAAGAAAGATCACTTGAAGGAAAGTAGAAGAGAGCTGAGCATCTTGTCTCTGATGGTGCATTAACTGCACTAATGCTCAAAATAAGACAAATAAGAACTATCTTCAACTGTGACTCTGCTGTAGAAAGAGTCTGAGAATAAAAGTATGTAATTTAAAATTAATATAAGTATTTGTTAGAGAATAAATAGTGACAAATACCTGCTTAGAAAATATTGTTTATCTGAAGGAAGATGAAAACTCTTGTGTGATCTTCTGACTGCTTGCGTGTCCATAAATCTTTATTATGGAATCAAACTTTAAATGAGGTGTCCCCTGAGATCTTTTTATTACCTGCACATCTTTTCTCTCTATAACGCCTTTTTGTGTATAAGGTGATATGATGGAGGTTAATGAGACTGTAGCTGTGACTAAAATACCAAAGAGGGAATAAATAAATAAAACCGTGACAGTGAGTTGAGCTTGCAGGTGAGATTTAGTGGCTGTGTGCTGAATGCCTCGAGTCAAATCCTCGAGACTAAAACAAGGAGAGTTTCCCACACGGTTCACCTATGGTCTCATTTTTATTTCTGATGTTTCTTTGAAAACTGGTCTCTAACCACACTCGGGGAGTGTGAGGAATAAAAAGCCTTTAGCTGTGGAGAAGAAGCGAGATAAACAGGAGAGCAGAGTGTGGGAACTTTCAGATATGGATTTGAATCTTTGACTGCAGAAGATGTACTGTTGCGTGCTTGAGACGGAGATGAGAGGAAGACTTATGGAGACACAGAGAAAGAGGCGAGAAGGTCTGATAAAGTTAAATTTATTGAGGCTGTGTATTCCCATCAGTCATTACTGTCATCTCCAGTTGGATTAAACTTTAGTTTATGGGATGCCGGTGCAGAAAAGGAACCTCCGATTATTTTTTTCTCTCTGATCACATGACTTTGATTCAGTTGTGATACATACATATGAAGCAGCACCCACAGCATAGTAATCCTCCACAGTGTGTAATCTTCATCCCCTCGCAGCTCCGGTGGGTCAGCGTGTTGATGTAGTTCTCATTATTTTCCTCCCAGCTGTGTACGAACAGTCCTGCGAGGCATACAAACACAACGGCAACACGTCAGGACATTTTTATATTGACGTGGATGGCAGCGGACCAATCAAACCACAGCTGGTCTACTGCAACATGACAGGTGACACACACAGACTCACACATGCTTTTACACCTTGCCTGCCTCCCATCATCACTGAACCTTTTTTATGATTGAGATGATGACATAACTTTAAATGATGTCCCCGCTTATCACACCCAGATCCCCATTATTGTCCACCTTCATCTTTTTTTATTTCATCCTAGACTTCAATCACTCCCTCTCCTCCTGTTTCTCTTTCACTCAATCTTTCATGCCCTTTGTGTAATCATATAAATGAACTATGATAACATTCTTTACCTTTCTCTGAATCACATGCTTACTTAGAAAAGTAAAAACAAAGAACTATCTTTGTCCAACTCATTGACAGAAAGTGAAAATTTACCGCCTAGATCAGTCACTGGGCGATTGCAAGGCTAACACTAAGAATAGGAGTAACACACTAACTTAACATGCATGTGTTTGGAAGCAGCATGAAAAACATGAAAAATCCACACACAGAGTGAGCTGAGCTGAAATCACCCACTCATAAAGAAATGAAAAAAAAAAAGTATTACTTTTTATGTTTAGTCAATTATAGCGTTAGACATAAACATTAGGAAACAAGGTCAAACATTTACTATTGAAGGACTGGGAAATTTATAGCAGTCAATAGCACTGATAACCATTGCACCTTCATGTCACCACTTTACATTTATACATCAAATATACATTAAAAAACAAAACATAACTGCAAAACTTAGCCGATGAATCAGCTGGCTGGTTTGCAGAAGATCAAATGACCATTAAATACTTTAGATCAACTATTTGGATAATTGATCTGTTCCTGTTTCTTCCAGTAAAACATTCCCAAGCTCCAGCTTCTAAAATTTGACATTTTACTTTTTTTCACGTAGCATCAAAAGGGCAGTTATTTGTTAAAAGAATAGTAGCAAGAATGAAAGGGAAGGTTTACAGGACCGTGGTGAGACCTGCTATGGTATATTGTTTGGAAATGGTTGCTCTAACAAAAAGACGGGAGGCGGAGTCAAAGGTGCTAGAGTTGAAAATGCTAAGATTGTCTTTCTCTCCTGGTAGAGGATTAGAAGTGAGAATCAGAGGAAGAGCTCAAGTTGAGCAGTTTGAATGGAAATTTAGAGAGTCAGGGTTGAGATGGTCTGGACATGCGCAGAAAAGGTATAGTAGATATTTTGCACAGCAGTAGTTGAACATGGAGCTGCCAAGAAGAAGAAAAAGAGGAAGACCACAGAGGTTCATGGATGTAGTGAAGGAGGACATGCAGCGGGTTGTTCTGACAGGAGAGCATGGTAGTGGATCAAGGGAGATGGAAGCAGATGATTCACTGCGGCAAACTCGAAAGCAAAGTGCTGAAGGAAAATATGAAGATCCAGCATGAAAAGGGAAGCTTCATCAGCTCTGTTGCATCATAGCAAAAGATTTTGTGGCTAAAAACTCCCACTCAGCTCGAGTCCTTCTGTGTTCACCTGTTCTTCCTGTGGGTACGCCGACTTCCACCCACAGATTAAATAGCGATTCAAACTTGGCTGTAGGTGTGAATGTGGGAGTCTGTGGTTGTCTGCATGACGCATCTTACACTGGAATAACTTCCAGCCACTCCACGACACTAAACAGAAGGACCAAAATGGAGGTATATCTATACGAAAGTAGACGACTCTTGAATCTGTGCTATTTTCTAAAAAGCAGAAATATAATTGTCATCCATTTCACTTTCTTCCATCACAGGCTTATTTGTGTAGTTACATCATGCATATATTGCTAATTTCACAGTCTGGCTACTTAGATGGTATTTAAATGGTACACATTCTAGGAAAGAAACTTTGCAGTAGAGCTTTATTGTAATAATAATAAATGAGTATAAATTGCACGCTCATCTTTCCCACCAGAGGAAAACACATGGATGGTGCTCCTGCACAACAACACTGAGCTGACCCGAGTGCGACCCTCTCCGGCTGTGTCCCAGCATTCGGTTCACTTCGACTACTCATCTCAAGAGGAGCAGCTGCTGGCTGCCATCAGCCAGTCAGAGCACTGCGAACAGGAACTGTCCTACCACTGCAGGAAGTCCCGCCTCCTCAACACTTTGGGTAAAGATTTGCTGTTAGTTGCAGTATAACATTATATGTCTTTCTTTATTATTCTGTAAATGATTATTCTGATGCTGCTCAGCTGGAACAACTGGAAGTGTTGCAGTGTAAAAAGCACATAGCTATGAAAATGTTTTTCAACCTGCAAACACTAAACTCTTTTCTGTAGCATGAAGTCTGCCTCTCCTTGGCTCGCTGTTCTTTTCCCATTTGCTGCGAGGCAAAACATTTCTTGTTCTCAGTGCTTGATATTGACTATGTATTTCCCTCTCTGAAAATAGATACTAGTTTATCAGTTCAGTTTCTGACAGCTTTATCTTAGACAACTTGAATTGCGTTATCTGTTGCTGCTGAAATTTTCTTTATGTACGTTAAACTTCAGTAATTCTCACTATTTAAACATCCTATTTAATCCTCATCCCTGTAATGTTTAAATTGTAGTTAAAATATTGGCGTTGAGGTTTTAACTTGCTTTTTCCTTTGATGTGTGTTAAGAAAAAACTGGCAAATAAGACAAAAACTTGCTTTTAATTAATGTGTTTGGGTCAAAAAGAAAAAAATCAATAAAAAACTTGATTAGGCTGACTCTGTTCAGCTGGAGCTCACCACATCATACTCTCACTCTCAGCCAGAGAACAACAAACTTACTTCACTCCTTTCTTCAAACTTAGTTTGGTTGCAGGGATTTTCTTGTCTTTCACAAATGATTCAGAAACATTGATTGTTCAGGATTTGTTAAAAACCTCCCCCTTTTGGAATGAGTATCGAGTTGGGTTAGTGTTTTCTTTTTTTGTTCATGTGTTTTGTTGTGATTGCATTGACTCAGAGGCGGTGAGTATTAGAAACAGAATTACAATTACTTTGATCCCTAAGTTGCATTAAATTTGTTTTAGTAGCAGTGGATTCAACAGATTATTCTTTCAGAGTCTGTGTAAAAGAGCACCCGAACATTGTTCGGTGTTGAGAAATAAAAAATAAAAACATTGATTTAACTTATCAAACGCTGGTCTCACGGCAAATTGTGATGAAATGTGATGCTTGTGAGGGGCAACCTAGCAAACTGATCTTTTTCTAAAGCTTTCCAAAAAAAACTAAACAAAAAAAGGAGGAAATAAAACAATTAACCCTCTCAGGCTCAACTTAAGTTTTTGTTGCTAATGCACAAAAGAATACCTGCAGTGATACTTCTGAGTAAAAACAACTCATAAAATATGTATGTGTGGTAATCAGGTTGTTAGCTTTTAACTGTTGCAAATCTGCAACGCCTGCATTGAGAGGGTTAAGAAAGAAAATGTAAAATATTGCTCACATGTGGACTTCAAACTTACTTAGAAGAAGTCCTTTGAGTTTTGTCCTTTCAACAACCCAAAAGTGGTCAAGAAATGTCAGCCTGTAGTAATGAAGCCGACTGACCCTCAGAAATGTCCGTCAGGTGTCTCAGCTAACCAGATAAACAGTTTAGTTTTCTTTTGATTGCTACCCATCCAATGCAGATCAGTGGGAGTCTTGAAAGTTTTTATCAATTCAGGACCTATAATGGAGTATATAAGGGAAAGAAACTGAAGAAACTTTTGGTCTGGTGGGTAATAGAATGATGGATGAAAGTGGGAAAAGTGGTCGAAAAGGAAGAATGAGCGGAGAAATAGAAGTTCCATTATAAACTCTCTGGCACTCCCTGGGAAAAATAAAGGAGTGCTGACTCAGCAGAGACATCTCCAAACACCCTCTCGCCATCTCTCCACCTACACTCTCTCAAAATGTGAAATACATATTTCAGCTTATACTGTCATCGTCCTCAATATGAAAAACAATATATTCAGTGTTAGGGTTAGAAGCTGGCAAGCATCCCTCCGCCTCAAACACTAGCTTTGTCTTTGGAGGATCATGTGGGCTCTTTCCATGCCGCACTCTATTTTCTCACAGCCCAGTCCATCTTGGGCACAATATGGCATCCAAAGAAAGTGCAATAAGTTATGTGTTGTGCAAATGGCAACATCTTAGCCTGCATTTGAAAATTGTGCTTAAAATTTTGAGACTCAGTTTTCTTTTAAAAGTTTGAAATAATTCATGGTAAATGGTAAATGGCCTGTATTTTATATAGCGCTTTACTAGTCCCTAAGGACCCCAAAGCGCTTTACATATCCAGTCATCCACCCATTCACGCACACATTCACACACTGGTGATGGCAAGCTACATTGTGACATTACAACTCCCACATAATACTTAGTGGGTTTAAAATGACCAATCAAATGACTGCAAGCGATTCTACAGTCATTCGATTGGTCAAATGACTGCAGGGGATTCTGGTACAGGTCAAGGCTGTTCTCACAGCAGTGTTTAAATAAAAAAGTATAATTTAAATAAAGTGAGATTAATATTTTTTTTTCTGCTGTAATTTATCTTTGCTGACTCTCTTCTAGTCTGTGAAGGTTCTCAGTCATCCAGGTCATCGTAGTCAAAGGAGCTTGCAAAGAAAAGCGTCTGGACTTCTAACTTAAAGAAGTCCAGACGCTTTTCTTTGCAAGCTCCTTTGACGACTCTCTTCTAGGTTTTTCCCACCAATATGGTCACACCTCCTGCGCTTATATGTACTTACATGGAAAAACTAAGGCTGGGAGACCAATAATAGGACTGTTCCCTGCAGAACAGAGCAGATATCAATGACAGCAGACATGACTCTAAGTCATGCAACGCTAAAGGTGCTGCTGGGTGACAAAGCGGCTTGCAGATGCTCCAGAATTCTAGGAAAACTAAAGAAAGCTAATAAATCTAACAATCTTGTCTCAAAAAGAGATTATTTTCTCTTAAAGGAGGATCCCCCTTAAAGCTGAAGGTCATTTACAGAGAATAGTAAAATGCTTTTATCACAAAATAATCCGTCTAGTTGTTGTTTCATTTTGAATTTCATGATTTTATAGAACCGGACACTTACATAGGAACAAAAATATCCAATATAATTTGATCAAAAACACCCTTCCAAATGCAAAACCTTGTCTTTCCATCTCCTGCTTCTTTTTTAGGCTCCGTTTATTGAAATCAGTGAAAACAGTTGTAAGAGTGAGATTTGTCTGTTTCAAGCATTGGAAGCTCCACAGGTTTTCCCAGTTTTCTGAAGATTATTTTTAAAAGGAGGAAATAGACTGATGGTAAATTAAAAGTAAAAAGCCTGTATTTAAAAGGCACGCATGCTGTAGTGAGAGTTCTGATATTTCCCGAGGTTTGAGTAAAGGATTTGCAGAAGTGCATCAGTTGCAGTCAGCTAATTTGGGCTGGCATTGAGAGCAGCAGGCTGAAGTTAAATAAGATGTGCTCAGTCTTTGAGAATAAAGATAAACATTTCTTTGATTTGACAGGAAGAATATCTGTTAGTGTAGGAAAATTATACCAGTTATGAAATGGAAGACTTTGACATTTCCCAATGTGTAAGCAGTCTAGCTGTAGTTTAGATATTAGAGATGCACTGAGTGAATTTTTCTTGGCCGATTATGATTTTTATCTTTGAATTGAGGATGTGGATTTTAGCCAATTCCAATTTTCCTTATCAGAACAATAACTGACAGGATATACAAAGAAAACTAAACTGTTACTCTATGCAGTATATTATTTTCACAATTACAAAAAAGTTCAACTTTACAGTTTCCTCCAAAACTTCAAGTAAATCACAGCATCTTCTCTCACTGAAACAATTGAAAACAAAATGCTTTGCTACTGGTGGTAGAAGGCAAGGCAAGTTTATTTGTATAGCACAATTCAACAACAAGGTGATTCAAAGTGCTTTACAGAGACATTAGAAACAAAAACAAATAAAAAGCATGATTTAAAATTGATTAAAACAAGCAAACAAACAAAACAGTATATAAAATCAAAACAGATAAAATCAGAACAGTAGATAAAATCAGTAGTTAAAATGTAAGTTTTGAAATTTAAGCTTAAGTGTGGATTTGGTGCTTTATTCAAATGCAGCTGAGAACAGGTGAGTCTTCAACCTGGATTTAAATAAACTGAGTGTTTCAGCTGATCTGAGGCTTTCTGGGAGTTTGTTCCAGATATAAGGAGCATAATAGCTGAGTGCAGCTTCTCCGTGTCTGGTTCTGACTCTGGGAACTGATAAAAGACCGGATCCAGATGACCTGAGGGATCTGGATGGTTCATACTGGGTCAGGAGGTCATTGATGTATTTTGGTCCTAAACCATTCAGAGCTTTATAGGCCAGCATCAGAACTTTAAAGTCTATCCTCTGACGGACAGGCAGCCAGTGTAAGGACCTCAGAGCTGGACTGATGTGGTCCACTTTTTTGGTCTTAGTGAGGACTCGAGCAGCAGAGTTCTGAATGAGCTGTAGCTGTCTGACTGATTTTTTAGGTAGACCTGTAAAGATGCTGTTACAGTAATCAAGCCTGCTAAAGATGAATGCATGGACTAGTTTTTCCAGGTCCTGTTGAGACATCAGATCTTTTATCTTTGAAATATTCTTGAGGTGATAGTAAGCTGATTTTGTTATTGTCTTAATGTGTTTTTCTAAGTTTAGGTCTGCATCCATCACTACACCCAAATTTCTCGCCTGGTTTGTGGTTTTTAGATGTATAGATTGAAGTTCTCTGGTGACCTGTAATCGTTTTTGTTTGGCACCAAAGACTATTACCTCAGTTTTGTTTTTGTTTAGCTGGAGAAAATTGTGGCACAACCAGTCATTAATTTCCTCAATGCATTTACCAAGAGAAGTGAAAACAATTAGCTGAAGATGAGCTGCTATTCAACCACCTTTACCCAACACATTTTACCTTACCAAACAAAAGCAGATGCAACAGATTTACGTAACAACTCTCCATAATTTGTCTGATAGCTGCTTTGATTCTTTGCTCATTCCGAGGCTGCTGGCTTGGAGCTGGATCTGAGATCTGCATAACTTTAACTTTAGCCACTTTGATTTATGGGTGTCTTTAAAATGTTCATGTTCAGCAGAGTCGGGATGATTTAGGTTCGATTAGGTTTGTTGTTGAGAACATTTTGCGGCAATCTCCTCACAGTTTGATGAACTTTGTGTCTTCACTCAAAATAAAGAACTTCTATGCTAATGATGTGTTAGCATGCATCTATGAGTTTGTGTATGGCTGTTTGGCAAGACTGACATGAACTGGCTCATAATGAGAGATCCATGCGACTGACGAGCCAGTGCCTGGAAATCCCTGGCTGTCCATCTCAATTAAATATTTTTAATTTAGCCTTTTGATTGCGTCACGGTTTTCAACTCAGCAATAGGTAAAAAGAAGTAGAAGGATAAACATTTAACAATTCCTTAGTTGGTGTTATTTAATAATAATAATAGTAGAAGTTGTAGTAGTAAAAAAATTTTATGTTGAAGCTACACATGAACATGATTGTGTGTTTCAGAGGGCTCTCCATTTAGCTGGTGGCTTGGCGGTCCAGGTCAAGGTCGAGTCCAGACTTACTGGGGAGGAGCTCATCCAGGAAGCCAGCAGTGTGCCTGCGGCCTGCAGGGCGACTGTGTGGATCTACAACACTACTGCAACTGTGATGCAGATCGCCTGGAGTGGTACTGACCTTTAAAAATCCATAGGCATTATTATTACTTTGTTCATTTCATGCCAGGTTTGCTCTCTCAACATTATTTCATCAATTAAACTATGGTAGCCCTGCCACAGTCCAACATTAATGATCCATTCTAGTTTGAGGGGCTTCCTCCTCTCTGTGGTAACTTTTGGTTGGTTTGCCAGTGATTTGTTTGTACTGGAATGAATTATTTACAGCAGGGGTGGCCAACCACATGCCAGTGTGCAGGGTTTTTTGTCTAACTAATCAACTCAGCAAGTGAGTTCGCTAATGAAGTCTTCTCTGCTAATCAGACAGGTGGAGTTTGGGTTGTAAAACAAAACCTGCAGAGTCTTGGCTCTCAGTAGCACACTCAGCTCTCTACCTGTAATTTAAAAAATGCAGCATCAGCAGGTATTAGGTATGTGCTCTCTCTTTTGGGCTTAGATTTAGAGTTTGTATGAGCATTTTTCAGGTTACCTCCCATGCATTTAAACATTACTACCTGTAACGATAACTGAAAAAACGTAGGTACACCAAAAGCTGTAATTTCTAAAAGATAAAAGAAAACACTAAAGTAGGCAGGTATTTATTTCTGATCAAATTCTTGTGTTAATCCTTTCAGATTGTGGGATTCATTATTCTGAATATGACTTATTTTTGAATACACGGACAAACAGACTTTCTAGCCTCGAGTAATAAATTATTGCTCTTTACTTACCGTCCTTCATGCTGTGAACAATCCTGCTGCTTTCATCACACTTCACCTTCTACTTTCTCTCATCTCGCTGTCAAGCTTTCCAGCGCAGACACAGGCTTTACAGATGTGCTTTGCGAGTATGCCACTCATTTCCAGTCTTGGATAAAATTCTCACCTGACAGCGAGACTGTCTTGTAGATTATCTGAACATGTGTGTGTAAACGGACGCCGCTGCTCATTCGGCTGTCTGTCTGGAGAGCGCTTTTGGAAAAGGCTGTCACAGAAACTGGCGGAGATGGAGTGTTGAGTGTCAGGTTGGATATGATACGATCTGTCTCACTGTTAAATTGTCTTCCTGAAAATTTGTCTTGCACATAAAACAGGTTGTGGCAGATTATTACAGCAGTCTAGACTTTTTTTCAGCGGTGCCATTTGCTTGGAGATTTATGCAAGCAAATTAGCCTAATTAGCATACATGTCAAAGCAGTTAATCCCAATAAAAAGTAATTTGTCCTTTTTCATGGTTTTTCTCATCTTCTTCCCTCTCTTCTCATTTTTCTTGCTCCTACTCCAACTTCCTTTTTCATCGATTCCTCCTCTTTCCCGTTTTCCTTCCTAATCATTCTTCATGTGTTTCTTCTCACCCTTGTCTCCTGCTCTCTCAATCTCTCACCACCTTTTCCTTCTTCCTGCTTACTTTTCTTCATCTCTTCTTCCTTTCTCATCTTCCTCTTTACAGGACTGAAGACTCAGGCCTTCTGACCCATAAGGACACCCTCCCGGTTAGGTCTTTGGTGCTGGGTGACATCCAGAGGCCAGGGTCGGAGGCTGCCTACCGGGTGGGACCACTCCGTTGCCATGGAGACAGTAAGTCTCCATAACTGCTTGGTTGCAGCAGACGGAAAGCTGACAAAAATCATCCTATTTATAGGTTTTATGTGACCACACATCATTATATAAATGACCACCTGGAAGGCAAAACAAAGCTCTCTATCGCTGCCTGCCAGTTGTTTTTTGGTTGTTGTTTTTTTTATAACAGGTTTGTTTAGCCAAAATTCTGGATGGTTGTTAAATAATATGCACTAATGACTTGCCGTCAGTGTCCTAAATCTGCCATACCAAATGTCCACATTGCACAAGTATGCCTGTCTGCAAACTGTAGAATAGAGCAGCATTAAAGCTTAACCATTTAATCCCAGCCCATGTATTTTAATTTGTTTAAATGCTGAATTTGGGCAGTGTTTTTGGAGGTGTTAAGCATCAATATCATTGGTTTAGACGAGTTAAGTTGTGGTCATGCATTAATTTGGACTGGTTTCTGAAAAGTTAACCATCTACTTAATTGGTTTGGACAGCTTTGAACAAGTTTTAACATTGTTTTCATCGGTTTGGACAGTTGGTAGGAAGGGCTTAACGATGATTTCATTGGTTTGGACAAGTTTCACTGGGATTAAACATCTATTCCAACTGGATATGTCCCATTTTAATCAAAGCCTAACCTTTGACACTGGAGAATTTCATGGTCTTCACCGTTCTGAAATGGTGACATTTTTAACCAATCACGAAAAGAAATACATAAAGCAGTCTGTTTTATTGTACACTTTGATCCTGGAAGCAGGTTACAGATATGATTTGTCTACAAGATATTTTTAAACATGATGATGCTCTGACTTGGACTTTGCTCTTTTTAGAAATCCAGAAAGTCTATTCAAACACGTTTGTTTCCCTGCTTTTTAGAGGAGGTCAGATGTTTGTGAACAGAAACAGAAGGTTGACAAGCTTGTGGCCCATTTTGGGCAGCTTGTTGGAACTTTCCCTTGAGATCTCAGTCATGTGACACAGATCTATAAATTCTGGAAGTAATGCCATTTCCTTAATGTAAAAGATGCTGAGTACTAAATTAAAAAAAAAAAATAGACTAGAAGTTTTAGTATCAAGCTTAGAAAAAAGGATTATGTGTCTAATGTTTAATTAATTATGAATTAAATGGATTCTTATGGGTTCAGCACCACCTCCTCCTTCTAGCTATCACTAACATAACTGTTAAGTCTTCATTCTCTGTTAACTGCTTCTCATTAAGAATAAAATACAAGGTAAATCAAAGTATCGCACTGACTTTGTTCTTCTTTTCATTGATTGCTGTTCCAGTCACTGTGTAAATGCTTCACAACATTGATAAATAAGTGTTATGAGCTACATTTAATGTTCATGACACAATGTTTTTATCATGCTTCTTAGAGAACTTCTGGAATGCCGCATTTTTCGACAAGGAGACGTCGTACCTGCACTTCCCCACCTTCCATGGAGAGCTGAGCGCCGACATCTCCTTCCTTTTTAAAACCACGGGCTCCTCTGGTGTGTTCCTGGAAAACCTGGGCATCAAAGACTTCATTCGCATCGAACTGAGCTGTGAGTACTGTAGGAGCTTGAGGGCACCAATTTAATGAGGATTAGAGTGATGTGTCACTAAAACCTGGAACTTAAAGTTTTAATCTGGATTTGTGTAAACCCAGAGGTTAAAGACTTTATCTGTGTCAAAACTGTCCTGTAGGCACAAATATTACCTTTTTAAAACATCACTGTATCTTCCTGTGTCTTGCACAATCTGAATGCAAACAAGCTACATTAATTTGACACAAGGATACCATTTGTAACTTTGGCAATGGTTTGCTGCAACATTACCCTCGATTCTTCCAGGACACCGTCAAACCTAGCTGCAGGAAACCGAATAATGACGATATCTGAATCATCACAATCATCATCCCAACAGTTTGGGATAAAGTCGAGTACCTGAACTCAACCTTACATGCAGGAATTTTAATTCCAAACAAAAATAAGCTAACACTTTATTTGTTTATGTTCTGCCCAACTCTGCTCAGATCAGCTGTGTTTGTGGCCCAAAGACCTGCTGCCAACAGGGACACTGCAGAGCGCCCTCTGGTGGACAAAATGTGCAGCATCAACAGTCATAGCATGGCTAAATGGTGTTTCTCTTCTTTACTTTTGAAATTTTCATTTCTAAATGCTAGCTTTCTGTGCTACCTGCAGAATCTTCTAGCAACTTAATATTTAATGAATAATCGTTTTTGAAAATATTTAATTTAATGGAGACATTTAGCCAGAGGAAGCCAGAAGAAGAGAACTGTGGCACAGTCTTTGGCATGGCTATGGACATCACTTTTTTTATTGTGCAAAAGGACAAGAATGTGATGGTAAAGTTGAAAATGCATCTACAGAAACAACTCCATTATGCTGCTAACACAGCTTTGGCGCTTTGCTAACATCTGCACAGACAGCATGCTGATGCTCAGTAGCCAAGAATACAGTGTGATGTTAAAGCTGAGTGAACTGTAGCCTGTAGGTTTATATTGTTAAATACTAATTATGAGACAATGCCACACAGCAATTAATTTGTATGCACATAATGTCTTTGATATGCTGTTTAGCAATGGTGGTGATAAATGATTGGTACCAATGTGAACCCAGTGGAAGTCAATAAGAGAATTGAACTGATAAGTTGAAATTCTTCTTTTCCCTCATCTAATGGCAACCCTGGTTTACAGAATGAGTGTACCCTAAGAGTTTAAACTAAAAAAAAGTTGAACTTTGAACTCAGAAGTGTCACTCCATGCTGGCCATCAGACAGAGTGCATGTTTAGGTCATGTGTCCATCTTCTATATACTTTCTATAGTATCATTTAGGAAATAGCAGAACTACACTCATGGATGCTCATTACTTTGCCTACAGCACTGCAGTGCAGCAAAGTGACAGGTACACATTTATGAGCCAGTTTTATAGTCACTTTAGTTTGAGGTTAGTTTGCAGTGTTATCGCTGCACTGCTTTTTGCATTTTCCTAAAAAATTGATTTAAAGGGACACATACACAGCTGAATACAGGGACACTGCTGGAGCAACAGCTTTTCTCCTCAGGGAAATCACTGTCAGCGAGGTTGTTTCAGATCTGAACAGTGTTGCTTTGTTGGCAGCTGCCTCAGATCACTCTGTAACGCTGCAGCTGGGCCTGAGAACAATTTCTAAATGAAGTTACTGCAGGATATTGTTTGTTCTGTGCTCACAGAGTAATACATCTTCTCCTTCCAAACCATGAAGGATGAGAGTTTGTTACACAACTGCCATCATGTCTTTTTGTTCGAATGAACACCGCAGGAAGCTTTTTTTCTCGCGGATGTGCAAAAAGGTGCAGCACTTTAAAATGTGATTACGGTAGACTTTTCACTTCCTGCTCAGTGTTACCAAAACCGCTTCCCTGGCTTCTGTCAGAGCTTGGTGAATGGATGATCTATACCATGACACTATAGATTTATCAGCCAGCTAGGATTTAGTTACAGCCTTTATTTCATATATCATATATACATATATATAGATCTGTGAGTTGCTTCATCGTGTGTGTGTGTGTGTGTGTGTGTGTGTGTGTGTGTGTGTGTGTGTGTGTGTGTGTGTGTGTGTGTGTGTGTTGAGAAAAAAAACCTGAGTGTTACGCACTATGTGCTTCAGCAAACAGTGACCCTGCTCTGTAACTTTACATGGCCTCCCACTTCACATGGCTTTGACAGTTGGTATGGTTACTAAACACTCCCACTTTGCAAAAATAAAATTTACAGTTGATCAGTGGATATCTAGAAGGAAAGAAATTTCACAAAGTAACTTGCTGCAACAGTAGAATCCTGTTACAGTATAGAAAATCCTTTATTTCACAAATGGTTATGAAGACAAACTGGAGAGCAAGGTGCTTCGTTTTTTTTATACCTGTGGCAGTAGAATTAAAAACACCTGAATTCAAAGTCCATGATGTATAATTTATGATACTCCAAATGTGTTCGTCTGCATACGTGTTTCTGTTTGCAGGGAACAGAGTGGCACTTTCACCCACTACAAATGTGCTCCCAGGCCATCCTCCAAAACCCCATCTGTATGTTGGGGCGTGGATGACTGATGCGTCGGTCAAATGCTGATTGGTTGGCAAATGGACCGGAATAGGGAAGGGAGTGACAGCAACTTTACCAAGAATTGGAGAAACTTGAAAAATCTTGAACTTGACTTGAGAAGAAAAAGATTTAAAACAATACAGCATGAAAAGTGGAGACAAACACTCAGTTTCACTTCAGGTCTCTATATATTCTAACTTCACTGCTTCCTGCAGCTGGCTGATAGATGTACAACAGATGGTCTCTGCAGGTTGTTGGACAGACTGTGACTGAGGTGTGGCCTAATACTTTTGCCTGTATAATGTTACTGTATTGGGTGACTTTTGTTTTGTTGACCCACTCTTTGGAATATGTGAATTGGGAGCTGTCTGGGAGCCGGTCTGTGAGTCGTTTGGTACTGGGTTGCGGGAGTTGAGGCTCAGGTGTGAAATGTTTGGTTTTCAGGGTTTTTATCAGTTTTCAGCGTTATTTTGTTATCGTTTTTATTGTTAACTCTGTTTTCCTGGGTCTTTTCACGTGTGTTATGAATAAATCTTCTTTTTTCGGTACCGGTACTAGTTTTATTTTGTTGTATTTATCCGCGACACCTTAAAGGCCAGTCCGTGAAAATATTGTCGGGCATAAACCGGTCCGTGGCGCAAAAAAGGTTGGGGACCGCTACTCTAGAACATTTTTTTTTATTGAATTAGTTAACAAATACTAAAGCCTGCTGTATGGTGGTGACAGCCCCTCCAAAACATTAGTGTTGTACTTTTGGGTATTCTAGTTTTTGTGAGTAAAATATAAGTATTTTATTGTAAGTACTGTATTTTGGCAAGGTGTCTGTGTGTTGAATCCATATAGTTTCTTGATAGTTTTAAGAATGTGATATCTGACATATTTTTCCAAAAGAGAAGTGTTTCCACAGTCACTTTAACATACAGATGAGCCGTGGGCCACTGCAGACACTGTCATGTCATGTGAGGGCCACTTTAGTGTTCAATTACTTCAAAGTAAAACAAGCAAACAAGAAAACACAGACAAATATTTCAGAAAATGAAGTGTTTTGTTTGCTTTTTTTTTTCAAATTTCAAATATTGTATAACATGACAAAACTGCAAGCGTGAACACAGTTTATTTTTCTCACTTTTAACTAACTGAAGCCTTTCGTTGAACTACCAAATAAACAAATTGGTGCTGTCTTTCTGGCCAGGAACATGGACGCACAATTTTGTTCGTATTTAACAAAATAAAAATGCAGACATGAGTGTACACATTAGTTTCTGACTACTAGTGAAAATTGTTTTCTTTTAATTAATTCCCTCACTGAACTAACACAACCAAACCCTCAACATGTTTGTGCTCTCTGCTCATATTGCCTTCATATTAAATCATTTTTGCTCTGTAAAGAACTTATTTTAACATTGCACACAACAATAAACAAATCCTCCCTAACAAAAAAAGTAACTTCAAGGGTCAAATTACATTATATTTCTTCACATCAATATACGGGCTGAAAGTAGAGGTGATGTGGGCCCTAAGTGGCCCCCAGGGCGCGAGTTTGAGACCCCCGCTATAGAGAGTTGCACAATGAAATACACAGATTTTAGTTTGTTAGTATTTACTAAAAGCTTCTTAAATAATATGAGGTTGTTTCTAATGAATTGTTGTTTTTTTTATTTTAAAAGGAGGACCCTCTTAAAGCTTAAGGTCATTTACACAGAATACTAAAAGACTCTTATCACAAAATAATCAGTCTAAATTTTAACAGCCTATGAGTTTTGTGATTTAATTTATATAATGATCCATATAATCATTATTAAAAAGCGTTCTATTAATCAGTTAATGAAATCACGCTGTTTTCCTGTCCCTTGCTACTTTTTCAGCCTCCACTCAGGTGGTTTTCTCCTTTGATGTTGGTAACGGCCCACTGGAGGTTCGTGTGGAGTCAAGCGTCCCGCTGAATGACAACCGGTGGCATCGGGTCCGAGCAGAACGGAACGTGAAGGAGGCATCGCTTCGACTGGATGAACTTGCTGTCGCCACGCAGGAGGCGCCAACTGACGGACACTTCCACCTGCAGCTCAACAGCCAGCTGTTCATAGGTGAGGATGACATGGATGCATTTGCGCACAGTTTTTGTTTGTTAATAGTAGCACTGCTGGTTTTGGTGTCTTTTTTTTTTTATGTCTCTTTTGTTTAAAGAATTCTCTGTCTCCATATATTCCCCTGCACTTCTTTAGAATATAATATACGTAGTCTATATCTCAGACAATATCTTCTTTGTTCTCCGGGGAACAGTAGTTCAGCTCAGTGTTTCTGTACTGCTCCTTCTAAAGTCTGCTTTTAGCTTTTAGTCCTTTTCTTTCCTCCGTGTCCCCGTAGTATAACTCTGTGCCTCCCACTTAAGTTCACATCAGATGTCACTGTATGAATTGTTGTACTGTGCAGGGCTATTTCTGGTTCCCAAAGGCTTTGGTTTAGAACATTTCATTCTCACGGTAGCTTGTATAGCCATCTGTGCCAGGAAGTAGAGTTACCTCAACTTTTAGCTTTATTTTAAATGTTTGGAACCCGTAGGTTACAGTTGGCATTGCAGAGACGGAAAAAGTAAATTATGGAAAAAATACGGACTCGTATTTGCATGTGTAGCATTAAATAGTCAGCTGTTGAGTTTTAATTCATTCTTGAGTGCCTTTGTGTTCTTGTTGCTGTTGTGTTTTTGTTCTCGCTATAGTTTGCTAAATTCAGGCACACGTTTTCTGGATTTATTTGTTGGTTCATCCTCCACAAATTTAACCTTAATGAACAATAAAAATTTGTGTTCAGCACATTAAGCCGAACACTAATTAGTAATGCATGTTAGGATTTTTGTTGTGTTTTGCAGAATGGTTGGTGTGTGTCCTTCCGACGTTTAGGCCAGGTGCAGGATAATAGATACAGTGCACAGACCATTTTATTGGAGTGTTTAGCTGGCAAATATCCAATGTAACAAAGAAGTTCTATTGTTTACGAGGAAAAAACCCCACACAGAATTAAATTGTGCTGATATATATATATATATATATATATATATATATATATATATATATTCTTTCAAACATCCCTGAAGATTAATTATTAATAAAAAACAATTCTGTTGGTTTTGTCGAGCCATTTTTCACAGACACCAAAATGCCCAGCTGCTGTTAGGAACCAGAGAGTTTTATTGTGTTAGTTTGTTGATACCTCGTATAAACAGTGCAGTTGCTCCTGTAGAGGACCGGCTCTCAAACAGACGGCGAATAGATCCACTCAGGGGGTCCTGATTACCTTTAGAAAATTTATATAATAAAACTAAGTTAAAGGAATATGAATGAACCAAAAACAAGAGCTTTTTTTTCAACCAGTATCTGGATTCTTAACAATTTAAAAAATCATGGCACTTTTTTTTTCACACACACTTCTTCATTGACTGATTATTGTCATCTATCTCACATCCACACCACAAATTTAGAAGCACCAGTTAACCTTACGTGCAAACTTGGAGAAACCCCTCACAGGTGCAAGCAGTAGATGCCAACTCCAGAGAGAGAGGGCCAAGGAAAGATGCTGACTACTGCACCATCAGAGCCTATACGAGCCTTGTTTTTTTGGCTTCTAAGCTAACGTTGGGTGGAAAAATAAATTTTAAATATTAGTAGTCCACTTTTTTTTTTTTACTACTGTTTGTATAAATCCTGTTGCCTGATCATTTCTAAAAAGGTGGGAGAGACTTGGTGGGAGAGAGTGTTTTTAGAGGCTCCTAGAAAGCTAATGCTTGTTTTTGACCCTAAAGTGTGTTTCACAAGTGCAGCCTATCAGCTCCACTGCAGGATGTCTATGAAAGCCAAAATCCAGCCAACACTCGGGACCAGTTGAGAGATTAAGTAGAGGTTTTACAGTCTTTTTTTGATTTGCGCTCTAGCAGTTGAGCTCAGTTGAGATCTAGAAGATAATTTTGACTAAAGTTGCTCTTTTCAACTTCTTGGCGCTAGGTCAAATAAACTGTGAGTGAGATTTTTTAAAAAAAATAAAATTTAAAAAGTATAAGAGAAGCAAATCTTTTTTTCTTTTTTCTGATTATTTTCTCCTAATTTTGCGAGAAATCCTCCTAGACTTGGATTCAAAGGCAGGCCCCACATCTGGTTTCCTCTTTCAGAGTCATACTTTAAAGGAAAAGAAATCATCTACAACAGAGTGCTAAACTGTTCTTGGCCAGATGCCACCAGCTCTTCAGCATTATTGAATATGAAAGTGCTGAGGCAATGGTTCTGACCACTGAACAATAATCACAATAAATAAGCATGCAGTAGGGAGTTGTGATTATTTATATATATATACACACACACATACATAGCCCATGGTGTGATTTCTTGCAGCAATAAATAAACTGCAAAGAACTCTAAACCTCTAAGTTATTAATTTCGCAGTTATCTTATTAACCAGCTACAAACTTCATCAATGCCGCAGCCCTATTCAAGGTTCCTTATTTGTCACATGCATAGTTATATAAGTATAACACACAGTGAAATGTAACCTGACATGCTCCTCAACATGTGCAAAAATGGGGGGGGGTAGAGGAAGAACATTATATGTATATATATAGTATATACATTAGGTGAATGTGCAGTAGTAGCAGCAAGCAGGTGAATTCTGTACATTAATAGGAATAGGCAATCTGACTATTTTACAGAATAGAAAAATAGAATAGAATAGAAAATTTAACTTACAGCCAGTACAATTGTACAATTCAAGTCTTATCATTCTGTAAATATTTAGTCTTTCACTTCTTACCAGTAATCACACTGAAGGGAAAACAAGCCAACAAACTCTGAAATTGTCTGATGGTCACAAGAACAGACAAATCAAGGAGAATATAGATTGGCTGCATGTGTTTAACCAATAGGCTCTTTGTAAATTAACTGCACCTCACCTACAAAGCAGAGCAGGCAGAGAAAAATATCTGCTGTCAGTTTGCTGCTTCCTATATAGCAGCTGTTAAATAAGATAAGATAAGATAAGATAAGATAAGATAGCCTCTTAAAGTGCTATAAAGTCTGTGATCTCTCTTTACGAATGGTCATGGTCAGTTTCACATGAATTCTCCTCAAATCAGCATCTCTTTATGGCTGTATATAAATCACCTGACCCAACCTGTCCCTCTCAAACAACGTAACTCAACCAAAGACATTAATAGAGGAAATAATTACAAAGACATCAGGTTTCGGTGTCTAACCCCCTCACCCTTCAAACAGTCATGGCGGAAGGTTGCTCTTTCCTGAGTGTGGTTCTGATAGAGGTCACTTCCTGTTAAAATGGAGTTCTTTATCCCCACATTCACAAAGTGCTTGCTTGATCAAGCTGTGCTGTCTTTTTCTTAAAATATAAAGAACATCAAGATTACTTTTGCAATAAACTGACAGTAAATTTAAAAAAAAACAGGTGGTTCATACTGTAGCTTTTCTTTAAACTGCAAGCAGTTATACTCTACTGATTATACTGATAGTTTATGTCAGTAATTAAAAAAGCAGCAGTTGACATCAATTGATACCTGGATGGATACTAGCTACATTACCTGGTTTGTTGTTGGTTCTCTTTTTGTTTCTATGTTGTATTTTATTGGCTTTATTTGTGAATTAATGTTTTAAATATTAGCAATGATGTTGTTGAGCAGAAGACTCAAAATTTGGCACCAAAGTAAATAAACTGATTAATGACTTGTAATTGTTGTAATTTATTTATTCATTTACGCTGCTTTTGAAGGGCAAACACATTTTGCTTATCATCAGTGACAGGGTCTTAGATATGCACACCTTTTCCAGCAGTTTATTTATGAGAGATTTTTCTTCACGTGTTTTTTTTGTTTTGTTTTGTTTTGTTTTTTTTCACAAACCTCAATTTTTTTGAAGACGGCAGCATTGCTCCCTTACTTGGATGGATCTACATTTTTGGCGCAGGTTTTACAAATGCCTTACCTGCCACAGCCCTCCCATTTATCCGGGCCTGGGACCAGCAGTAGGAGTAAAATGGCTTGAGACCCCCCCAAATCACATTTTGAGTAATATTTAAATGAATGCCTCGTGGCTGTTGTGGGGCTATTTGGCATCAGCTTAATAACACGTGCGTCCAGTTTGATTTTCTATGAAACAGCTCAGTTGGTTATTAGCCATACTACCAGCAAGGCCTCAAGGATCACGCCTAGATATGTCTAAAAATTTTGGTCTGGATACAGATCCCTCAATAAATTGTTCAATTTTGTTGGGGGTTTTTTCCCAGTAAAATTTCGGTTTATTTACATGTGCCCCTTTCTTTTTTCCTATCACCATCATCAGATCAAAACTGTAGCTATATTGTCCGGTTCTTTGGTTTATTAGTAAATATATGCTAAAATGGATAAATAAAACTAATGACATTCCCATCAACCCTAGCTGTACTTTGAATTTTGTGCAAATTTGCATGCTAATAAACTACGATTAAGATGCTGAACATTAGTTGCTAAACATCAGCACGGCAAGCTGATGTCAGCATTTCTCTCACCACCACGGTGCCTAAATACATCCTCCACACAGCTCCCAGCATGGCTGTAATCTCATATCTTGTTTTTTATTAAGCCCTCCCTGACAGCTGGATGGCTCCTTACTTCTACCTCTCATCCCCCCAGTTTGTACCAAACCATCTCACTTTAAAAGTTAAAAATATCAAACCTCTATAGGGTAATATGTCATCCAACACGTTTCTTAAAAGATATCATTCAGCTATATTACACTCATAATAATCCCCACAATTATTAATAAGATTTTAAGTGTAAAACGTATATATGAAATGTAACCCTTTTAGTGTCTTGGCAAGGGGGGTGACTTTAAAGCAGTGTTCAGATTTCTCTCTACATCGTCAGTATCTCACCGCGTCCCTCCTTGTTCACATAGTATGAAAAGCTGAATATTAAGTTATTTGCATTCACAAGCCTCAGCATGGGCGTGATTACATTTTCAATCCATTTTACCCCATGAATTGTATTTGTAAGACTCCATTTGTAAGGCAAAACTGTTCTATTGTGTAAATTACAAGCTCCTGTGTTGGTTTG